GAAGTCACACTGTACTGTGGGTGTGGGCCATCGGCAAAGTTGCAGTGACGTTGACCACGCGAACGGGGTAGGTGAAAGTTTTGAAGAAGTTCGGTCGTAGGAATGGCTAAGCCATCCATCCAGCCATCTAGAAGTGTTCCAATTGTGGTGCAATTATATACAAATTCCGAATCCGGACGGAGGTGGTCTGTTTCATTGAGTCGCTCGCGATTGACCCATTTGAGCCGTGGCGAATGCTGTGATGTTCCATGGGACGTTCGCCGAGGTGTCACATGACTGTTTTTCTCCGGTTTTCGGATGAAGGTGAAAGAACAGTCGGAGAGACCGTCCGAAAGGAACCGGATGGATTTAAATGGCTGCTAGGTGGCATGGATTGTGTTGAAATGTAAGGGCTCGTGACTTTTCAGTATCCGGGCACTTGGACACCATGACGTTTCCCAATGCCACTGTTTTTCGCCTCGCCTGTGCGGCAGCTGCAGCCGAGCAGAGACGACGAACCGAGGTTAAAGATGCATTTAAAATGTTAACTGAAGAAGACTTCCGGAAATGTTCTCGTCCGTCCGAACGAACAGTGCGTAGTTTGTGCGACGAACTTGTCCCTATCATCGGATGCCAGCGAGCCAGTGGCCTTTCCAGAGAGGAAAGTGTTGTGTGCGCTGCTATTTTTCGCCACCGGTTGCTTCTAGAGGAGCGTTAGTCGCGAGGAGCCCATCGGCAAGTCTGAGCCGGCCGTGAGCAACACTATCCACTAGATGACGCAGGCCACCGTCACCGTGGCTGCTAGGAAAAAGCTGGCGGTCTTCCCACTGACAACCGCTGCTAAGGCTGAGGCAAAGGCGCAGTTTGTGCTACGCGGTTGCATCCCAGGCGTGCTGGCGTGTGTCGATGGCACGTTGGTCACCATTCGCAAGCCAGAGGGATTCAGACTAGCCGACACGGTGAGCTTCATGTCCAGAAAGGGCTATTATGACCTGTATGTCATGATAGTAAGTACCGTTTGGATTCTTTCTTACTCGCCCATCGGAGCGATTGATCAGTTGTGACGCCAAAGCTGGAAAAAGTAATAATGCAACGAATAAAAAAGAACCCACAGGGAACTGGGTGCGAGCTAGTTGGTGGCACGCAAGGCCTCGGTAATAATAAATGGCAAGTGTTTTGTGCGTGAGCCAGTTGCCGTTTTTGTACTGGCGTGCATGCGCAATTAAGTTGTGCATTTTGGAGGTAATCGGTAATATGGGCAGCAGACGTAGCAGAAATATATACACGACAGGGAAGTATTTCCAACACGAATTGCTTACAATCACAATTGCATGAGCTGACTTTGGCATTTACGAGTGCTCTTTCCCAAGAGCAACGCGTAGGTTTTCACTTATCGATCATTCAGTGGAAGTCTGAGCCATGTGTACAGCAGAAAAGGGGGCCAATGCCCCCCTTCCACCCTCCTCAGTGTGGTACATTCTGTGTTTCCTTCTATGTGAAGCTTCTTGTACCAATTACTCTACAAGTACGCATTGTTTCCTGAGTATGCGTAAAAAAAAGGGAATTATTTCGAGTATAAATGCAGTACTATTTTATATCACTCCTCATCGCAGGTGTGCAACGCATGGATGGCTGCGCATCCTTGTCATGGACCCAAGATTCCCAGGATCGTGCCACGAATCCTGGGCGTGGGAACACAACCCACTGCGTGCACGCCTAGCTGCACATCTGCAGCCTGGCGAATATTTACTTAGTAAGTATTATAGTGTACTAACTGGGGCCGAGAACTCAGCTTTTATGTTTCCATTGCAGGAAACGCAGAGTGTCCCCTCGAGCCATGGCTCTTATTTCCAGTCCTTGGCAGTCAACCGTGCAACACTTCCGAAGGCTGATACAACAAGGAGCACGCATTCATGCGTAATGCTGTGGAAAGATGTATGGCAGTGTTGAAGTGCGAGTTCCGCTGCCTGCAGCACTTTCGAACGATGCTCTGCAACCCCGATCGGGCAGCGCAAATCATCTATGTTTGCGTTCCTCTCCTCAACATTGTGTTGCATGCGGGTGACTGGAACTTGCATGAGTACGTTGTGGACATGCCACCAGCTGAGGATAAGAAGCCAGAGGAGAACCATATGCCCACACCGCGCAACGTGCTGCTCAGAGGACAGCAGCAGCGCAGGGCTGTCGTGGGCCTTTTTTGAAGTACACAGGAACAGTGAGTTTTCATGTTGTTATATCAGACACATATTTTATTTATACAGATTTCAGTGCATCTAGGTATGACAAGGCTGTGTTTGCCACATTTAAATAAACAAAGTACTTACTCATGCTTCATGCACGGTGGCAATGTGAAAGTCCTGCATTTTCTTTAAATGTTACATAAAATATGCAACAGAAACACCTTTTCCATATCAGTGATCACAGTCACAACAGACTAGATTGGAGCAAGCATATATGAGCGCCACTCTGTGCTGAATGTTGCCATCGAAAAACTGTGCGTACAATGCAGCGACGTCACACAATTTATTTCACCAGAACGCATAAAAATTGCGATTTCATTAGTAACATGTTGCATGACAACATGATACATAAGTCCGTCTATTCTCATAGTGACTGAGTAGAAGCATTCAATTGAGCACGACAGGCTTGACAAGCAGTTGTGCTCGTCAAGCTGTGCTAGTTTTTTGTACATTGTCCTAAATATTGTATGAATGTTGAAATAACATTTGATTTAAATTCTCGACTGCAGTCATGCTGCAATGCTAAAAAATACGTAAATCAAGATAGCAAACGACAGGACAGTTCTTTTGATAACATACAGCATGAATAATTAGCTCAGCAATCTCGCGGCTCCCAAAACATACCACGTTCAAAATTTATTCCCGCAACGAGTCGTTTACAATTAAAACTAGATGAAATCAATCGCTGGCATGTTGCTGTGATGATTACCATTTTCATTTGTGAAACTGTGCGAAATGACTAATTACTAGCTTAGTGCTCTCAAAAAAGACTCAGAATGTAGTTCTTGTACCTTGGCCTCAATGTGCTGAAATGAAAATATCACAATAAATTGCAAAAAGGTATTGTTGTGTCTTGGGTTTTCAGTTTCGGTTTCGGATTGACATGTGAGGATGCCAGGGGGCGCCGCTCTGGCACCTAGGATAAAGCCCTAGGATTTCAAGGCGACTGTAAAATAAAGGCAGTGTGTGTTGGGTAACCGTAGAGTGCGGTTGTTGTGCTTCTTTCGGCGCTGCGCGCCAACCTGCGTGTTCGGGCTGGTCGGGTCCCCGCCGGCCGTCTTCTTCTTCTTCTGCTTCGTCGGGACCAGCCAGCCCCAACACAGCAGGTATCCCAATACAACACTATGCAGAACTTCTGCAAAAAACGCGCAGTGAGCTAGAAAACATAGTGGGGCAATGCAAATATCACAGAAACATTCACAGAAAATGGCAACTATACCTCTCCGTTTGAATGACTAGACACACTTGAAATGTGGGGAAAAAACACTGCCACTGGAGCAGCTCGAACATACATTGAGAAGCGCATATATCAAACATAAAAAATGCTGTACTCCTTGAACAAAGTAAATGTTAACCTAAATCTAGTAATATAAACTAAATGCAAAAAAAAAACGTATAAAATAGAGCATGAACAGCAACACGTAAACATATCAAAAACACTAAACGAATAATGAATGATAAAACGTTGAAAACATGGCGAAAGACATACTAAACTATGTATATGTCTCCCAAAGCGTATAAAATTCAACATCAACAGCAACATCTAAACACATTGAAACCGACAAATCTATAATGAATGATAAGAAGAAAAAACATTGAACACTTGACGAAAAGTTAAACTAAAGTACGTATCCCTTTCTCGCAGAAAGCCCTCAGCCATGGCTCGTGCCAAGGAATGGACCATCTGCAGGACCCTCCTGCGCCGCTGCCGCCTTCTCCTGTGCTGCTGCCATACGCCGTGCTGCAGAAGCGATGCGGGTGGTTACTTCCCCCGCAGCACCTGCGATGAATCATCGTGGTGGAAATGTTTAAGCGAGCTGCCGGTAAACCCTTAACCATCTCGTGGCTCGAAGCTGCTGCTGCCAAGAACTGGGCACAACAATTTCCCCTTAGTTGAAGATCCACTGGCCTGATGACATTCTTTGAAAATGTGAAGCTTCGTGTGAAGTGATTCTAAGAGAGGTAAAAGAATAGAAAAGTGAGCCCCGTAACTGTCTGCATCACGGTGCGACACCCCAACAGTAGCTCACAGGGGATGGGGGTGAGGAGGGATTAGAAGGATAGGACTAAAGGTGTAGAGAAAGACAGATGCGCTAAGCCAGCGAGCGAGGACATATCGAGGGAATAGGAGAGATAGGAAAGATGAAAACACGGTCACAGGAGTCCGAGGAGGGAGCATCCCTTGCGAGAGCTCTTGTCGGCGTCAGTAGATGCCGTAGAGCAAGTCCAGTCGGTTAGAGCTACGCTGTCGTCGGCGTCAGGAGATTACGTAGGGGGAGCCCAGTCGGCCAGAGCTACGCTGATGCCGGAGATCGCGAGGGCACAACCGGTCGGCACGGAATCCAGCAAGCGAGTCCAGGTGTTGGGCGCGAGGTCCCTCTGTCGATATGCTGCTTGCTTCATGTGGAAGCGAAAAACTTCCCTAGATGTTCACAAATTTCTCTTTTCCCCTAAGTACAACCAAAATCCCCTAGATCTAAGGAAATTTCTCTAGAGTAGGCAGCACTGCTTTGCTGCGACTTAGTGTGGCAGCTTGGGCTAGTTAGGATGACATGATGACAGTTATAGCGCGAAAACAGAACGACGACGACGTGTCCTTTTTGTCTTTGTGTCGTCATTCTGTTCTCGCGCTATAACTATCGTCTTGCTGCGACGTAACGGCGCACCATCAAAAATCCCTAGACCAAAAAATCCCCAGCAAGTAATTTCCTAGGTAAGATTCTGTACCCTTGGCCATAGCGGCTAAGGCCGTTTTTTTTTTCTTCTTTTCGCTCGTGATCTCGGGCCTGCGGCAGTTGCGTGGCTGTGGCGCGTGCCGTAGCGTAGAATGTAGGCTGGCGAAATGTCGTGCTATCGGTACATGCAAAGCCGGGCGCGTTCCAAGGGTCTCAGCGCTGCCTCCTACTTCACACTTCAGAGGGAAATATGCGAACAGAGCATGGTCATCTCCAGCAAGGTAACTAATTCGGGAAAAAAGCTTGAGTCTAAGCCTAAGCATACTCCTATGATGGCTGTTCCGAAGTCAATGAAATTTCTGAATTCGACGGTGCGGTCAAATTTTAGAGCATAATCTGCCATCGCCTCTGACTAAATACACGGAGCCTTGTTTAGTATATGCAACTTTGCATTCTGTGAGCTTGAGTTAGCACCGCAGGCATGTAAACGCCCTCGTGACAACTTGCTGGAAAACGCCTTCCGATCAACCAGTTGGTGTTCCCGTACACACATTTGTTTCGTGCTGTACACTCCTTCAATTGATGTGCACACCGTCTCTCTTAAGCTCGTGGTTCATTGGCGCGACAACTTTGCTGCCTGGTTTGGTTGATTCTTTGCTGTCAGTAAAACAGAGGTTGAAATGCTTGTATGGGTTGCGGCGATAATGCACGGCTTTTAAATCTTCCGTTACTGCGTGAAAATGGTTGTTTTAGGGGCGAAGATCCTTAAGGCGTGGGTCTGTCCATCCCGTGTATGTATGTAGTAGTACGTAGCCACCGGTGGCACATACCCGCACTGGGGCGGCAGTAGAGCGGGTATGTGCCACAGGGGATGGGAGATGGCGGTACTCATTCGTAATGAACGGAGATAGCGTAATGAACGGAGTGTTCATTAGATGTACGCATGGACGGACAGACAGACTAACAGATGGATGGATAGACGCGCGGACGTACTGACGGATGGACGCACGAACAGACAGACATACAGATGAATGGACTGACCCACGGACGGACGCATGAATAGACGCACGGATGGTCGCGTTGACGGACGGAAGCATGGACGGGCTGAAATACTCTTCACCCCACTCATCATCATTCACTCCGTGAATATGCTGTGGTTTTTTTAGAGGCGAAGCTCCTTATAGCGGCACCCGTTCGTCCCTCGTAGCCATTGTAGTGTGTAAAGAAGTATAACATTTTGACCTCCAAGGTGGTGCCGGTGAGAGATTTCTTTTGTGCGTTGTTGAACAATAAAAAATAGTGCTCAATGTACATGCCAATGGCTGCTAACGGAGAATGAGAGACAGTATCATTCGGCTTTTAGTTTATGCGCATGCTGCAATCTCAATTAGCAGCCATTGGCATGTACATTGAGCACTATCAGACAAGAAAGGGTTGCTACGTTATACTCACTGGGTGTAACCTCCTTAGTTTTAGAAAGGTTTAGTGAGCGCTGAGCCGCAGTGTCAAGAATACAATGAACCTGTATATACCATGAACTTGAGGTAGTTAAAGATAGGAAGTAGATACGAAGCGCAAGCCGTAAGAAAGTAAAAGCCGAATTCTCCTGTTTCTCATTTCCCATTTGCAGCCATTGGCATGTACATTGAGCACTATCTGACAGGAAAAGGTTGCTACGTTATACTAACTCGCTGGGCATAACCTCCTTGGTTTTAGAAAGGTTTAGCGAGCGTTGGGCCGCAGTGCCATGAATACAGTGAACTAGTATATACCATGAACTCGAGGTGGTTAAAGGTGGGAAGTAGACCTGAAGCGCAAGCCGTAAGAAAGTGTGCGTGGGCCACCTCTCGTTTAGTCCTTGGAATGTCCGCTGGATGGTGGTGCTTCTATATGGGGAATATATGATGAAAATATGCGAGATGTTGGTACTTGGAGTGTTGAATAGATGGACGAACGGACACACAGACAGATGCATAGATGAATGCATGAAAGGACGCAGGGGCGGATGCATGGACGAACGCAGGGACAGATGCACGCACGGACAGGCGGATGGACGCATAGACAGTCACACAGACGGACCCATGGACGGACGAAAGCAAGAACGAATGGACGGACGAATGCTTTGCCCTACTCTCAATCATTCACTCCGTGGATATGCTGCCAATTTTTTTAATATGTCCCCGGAAGATCATTTTTGCCAGCTCGAAAAGTACTCCAGCACACATTGCAGCATACCAAACTTTGCACAATGAAATGCTCTTTTCTACAAATAATGTTGTAGAGCAACAAAAATATTTTAGAATGACTAAAAATGTGAAAAGTATGGAATTTTCAGTTGCCAGCTGGTAAACAGTACAATAATAAACACCATGTATGCAAAAATATTCAAAACAAAGGAAACTTGGAATATACATTTTGTAGATAAATGACCCAGGAACAGTGTCAAAAATAATGTACGAAATGTTTCTCTTGATATAGACAAAGAAAATCGGAACCGAGGGGCTGCTTCGTTGCTCGTGCCATGCAGTGAAGCGTTGTATCGTTTTTCGAGAGACACAAGTGTACTCGTACACTTTTCTCAGTAAATTTTTGTTGTCTTGCGATAAGAGCCTCCAGTTGTTTTAATATAGATGGATACCCGTGATGTGAATAATCCCTCTATAAATGATATGTGCAATGAACTTCCCTATTTCATCTAGCGTCACCTCTTTTCGTGAGTCACCTCACTCCGCAAAGGTTGCCATTACAATATATACATTCAAGCATATTGCTTTGCATTTTTGCGCATAATGCATAAACAAAAGGAACAATATCGCGCGCGGTTTGAAAACAATTAACACTTCATAGTCATGGCCAAGATGAACGTGTCTGGGGACATTATTTCGTTAGCAGAAGCTCTGTAGCCAACACCAGCACACTGCATCCCAGCAAAGTGCGGACCGCGTACATAACCTGAGTAGCTATAAGATTGGGCACAAAGGTGAGAAGCTATACGCGCTTGCAGCGGAGGATACAAGTTGAGGATGTGAACAAACATATGAACGGCTGTGGATGTTTCAGGCTGACGCAAAACATCGTCATCATACAACATGAAGCTGGGGTGCTGTCATCCTCAAACTCTAAGCCCATCTTCACTCAATTCAGGTGGGGTTGCAAGACAGTTTCGAGCAGCGCATGTGTTTTGTAGCGCTGGTGCACACCCATGCGTGTGTGACGACGACATCATAGGAGCGACTAGTGACACTAGATGTACCCTGTGTCTGATATAACGAAGCAAGCAAAACCAAAGCTGCTGAAAACTGTCAGAGAAGGCCATCTCAACACTCTAAACACATGGTGGACCTTTGTAAGGTATAACTATCAGTTAAAGCACACGAAAAACAGACAGGAAGAGAGGACAAGCGCTTGTCCTCTCTTCCTGTCTATTTTTCGTGCGCTTTAACTGATAGTTATGCCATGCATATCCAACTAGCCCAGCTTTCGATTCTGTTGACCTTTGTAAATATTTTTTGTGGAACAAATTTTCCCTGACTTCCAGGAACAAATTTCTACTGAATAGCTGGCATAAATTTCTGGCAATTATTACTGCTCAACATTGTTAATTTGCGAAGATGACACTTCTATTCAATATTTGGCTTGCAGACATTCTTTTTGTTAAAGAACTTTGATGTTACTGTAGCATAATCATGAGGGGCACGCACTTCTGTCAAGTTCACTCACCTAGTGCACTTAGAAAATACGTACATCAGTTCATGCGAAGGTCTGTCGAAAATCACTATGTTGCCAAAACGGGCAAATTCAAATTGATTCTGAAAGTTTCTGGACTCACTACAATCAAGTGCTGGGTGCATGAGAAACAAAGTTAACGTAACAAAATCGACAATCCAAAAGCGTCATCACCGGTGATCAATTTGAATAGGCGTGGTAACGAAAGAGTTCAGAGGAATAAGAAAGTTCAAGCCACTAATAGAGCTGTCCGCATCTTTGGTTATTATATTTCAACATGAAGGAACTGTGCAGTTTCTGGAATTTAGGTTGTGATGTTAAGTGCACCAAAAATTAAGTTTTCTTTGTGCTAATTTAATAAGTATGTGATGTGTAGATTGTTATCTACTTGATAATTATTCAAGCTTGTTTGGTTTGAAATAAAGTAGCTATGCTTGATCACTTAGAATTATCATGTTTGATCAATTCAGTATGTGCATTAGAACAAGCTGACATGTATTATGACTTTTAATTATCAGTGCTTTGTGTGGGCTTGAACTTCTGCTCTTGATATTTGCTTTAACTTGAATTGCCCCTGACCATTTTGGTCTTGACCATTGACCATTCAGCATTTGATCTTTCACCTAAACGAGTCCGTGGGTTTAACGTCCCAGAACCACTATATGATTATGAGAGACATCGTAGCGGAGGGGCTCCGGAAATTTCGACCACCTGGGGTTCGTTAACGTGCACCCAAATTTGAGCATGGTGGAGCACCTAAATCCTTCAGTGAACCATCCAACCATATGTTGCTTCTTCTTTAGCAATGCCACTTGAAATTAACATTTCATGCCATTAAAGAGTATTATAAGCTATTTTTTATTACTGACATGCATGTTCTTCTTAGCAGTGAATGGGGCATTGCTGCAATGTTTTGTCTTTACAGAAGTGTGCTGTTGTAGGTTCGATATTACGACTGGAAAAGTAATTTACTGAAATTGTGACCTCCGGAACCATGAACTTTTCAAGATCAGTTTTATCATTTCAAAATAATAGACGTAAAGACGGGGGCAGTCGTGCATACAGAGGTCTCGCAGTCAGTGACTGCTGTGGGATTAAAAGTTTTGTTATTGGTCGCATAAATATATAAGGTTAAAGGCAGTAAAAAAAGTCACAGCTTTGCCATAAAGACGAAGCAATGAAGGCGATTGCAACAAATTGGAAGGTCATGCACAGAATGGCAGGCAGATGGAAACGTGCCCCGCGTTTCTCATGAACAAATGATGCTCAAAATGTACTCACAGGTACAGATGAAGGCGAATAAGGGTCTCAGTTGTTAACTTAGCTGTGTCTGAAAACCGCACCCTTTTTGCAAACGGAGACTGTGCAACGATCGCAGCGACCATTGCGCGCCCGTTAACTACAACAGCATCGTTCCGGTGCAAGCCCAAAGCATACGATTGTACCCACTGCGAGATAAGCAAATGCATGCGTGAGCGTCCACCCTGCCCCCTCTCCGCGGGGCGAAGTACGCATGGGAGATGAGAACGCGCGCTGCCACATCATGATGATGTGG